GAGATGCCAATTCAGGGTCGAACGGGCTGGGCATGGGTAGGACCGGTAGATCCTTGGTGCTGATCCCTCGATGTTGGCGCGACATGTGCGAGTGCAACGAGTTCCTCGACTTGGCCACGGTACCGCACAGCACGCAACGATACCCCGGACAGATCGTGTGCTTATCTTCCAGGTGAGTGCGCAATGTGTGGGCGGATCGATAGATCTTACCGCATTTCGGGCAGGGGCGTGGATCCGTGGCGCGGACCCGCATCATGTCCAAGCCGCGGCGGGCCACTGAAAAAAGAAGACAAACAAAAGGGTGATGAAGGCGAGTTTCCCCAAGTGAAAGTTTCCTCTATCGTTTTTCGAGGAGCTTGCGATGGCCGATGGTGGCGGCGCAAGTCCCGGACCGAGTAAACCACGTGGGAAGAGTAGCTAAAAAAAGTTAGATTAGAAACGAAACAAGATAAAACTTAAAGGAAAGATGAAACTTTTTTCTGTTTTCCGTTCTCGTTTTTAGAATCTCGTTCTATTCGCCTCGGATTCGGCTATTCGGTAAATCGAATAAAGATGGATGTCCATTGATGGATTGATCAGCCACGTCATCTTCTTTGAATACCTTTTATTGTACAAAGCATTACTTAAATAGTATATACTTTATTTCGTGTGTCTTACGTATAATCTTACGTACCCTAGTATCTGCTAAAATAGTGCGTATGATGCTCTATACATTGTCCGTGGCACGAGCTGTCGCTTGTGAGAGCGATTTCCATCTAATCAAAATTTCTAAAATCAAGGCGCGTTGTGTTTCGAATCGAAAAGAAAAATATATATATATATAAAGTAAAAAAAAAAAAAGAAAGAAAAAAGAATATCATAATCGAGACTAATCGTTGAATAATCGAGAATAAGAAATTCATCGTTTCTTTCTCGTGAATATAGCATCGTCACTCGCGCAACCAACAACTCGTGCACACGCGTATATGTATTTATATTTATATATATTTATATAATTTCCTCGTAATTTATTCGCAGCGTATCCTCTAGTAACTATCGGTGTGTCGAAAAAAACTTAACCTGTCTGGGATATATTCTTCTACCTAGAGAATACTGACGAAAAAACAGAAGATTGTAGAAAAATAAGGCTAGGCGCTGTTCGAATCGACATGTTCATCGTGTTCTGTTCGTCGATCGTTTTTCAAATGTTCGCTTATATACGTTTAACATATGTTATTACATATGTTCGTCTGTTGTTTAATATATATAATATTTTTTTCTCTACGCGTGTGGATTTACGTGTAAATATACGTATTAATTAATTATTCGTATTGCGGCGCGTTTCTTCGGATAACGATTACGGAAGCATCGTAAAACTAACATCTCGATACACGTCCAATTTTTTTATTTTTCCTCGTTTATCTATTTTTATTTTTTATTTTCTCGCGCGTAAAATCTTCGGATTCCAATTTTCCTATCGTTTCGATTTTTTAGCTGTTACGATTACAAGATCGACTAACGTTCCGCTCGTAATCTAAAGAAATTCTCGACTCGTGTTTTACTCCGCTCATTTCTTAAAAACTACGCTCGTTAACGTAAGGCTGGCTTACTCAGCTTTAGAGGAACATTGTTTTCTCTTGTTTAAGATTACGTTAACCTAACCGTTATTACATTATCGTAGTCGTATAATCAACGTCGATCTTATTAATACACGATCTCTATTGGTGTGACTACCATTCTTATTATTTTATCCATTCTTATTACTTTTTTATTTATTTATTTATTTATTTACTTTTTTTTTTATTAATCAGGCTCTACTAGAAATACTGTTTCGTACATTTTCTTTTTATACAAAATCAACTCTTTCTCTCTCTCTCTTTCTATATATATATAGATTTATTCTTTTTATATATATATATATACTCTCTCTATTTATTTATATTTATATATATTTATATATATATATAATATATTCCTTCTTTTCTTTCTTTATGTATATATATATATAATAATAATAATAATATTATTATTAATATTAATAATAATAATCTCCCGAATATTTACAAAATGTGCGCTTCTCGTTTAATTGTCAGGAAGAGAGGTGGGTGCTTGTGCGACAATTGTCTCGATAATAAAGCACTAAAAAGGGGACCGATCATCGTAGGCGCGCAGACTCGTCCCGAAATCATTCTAAACCCTCCTCCCCTCCTCCTCCCCAAGATGTTATACTTACATTCAACCAGATCGCAATATCGCGTATACAATACCTTCGAACTCTTTATAGACTCTGGCACGCGAGACATTTTTCCTTGAAACGCGCCCTCCACCCTCTGAGACTACCAAGACACGTGTATATGCAATCGATAAATGGCGAAACTTTTATATTAGGAATATAAAAAAAAAAAGAAAGAAAAAAAAAAAAAAGAAAAAAGAAACCGCGCGAATACGAAAGAAGAGAATACGAGAATGGAGAAGAAGAAGAAGAAGAAGAAGAAGAAGCAAGCTCGAAGCAAGAAAGAGAAAGAATGAGATTAAAAGAAGAAAAAAATAGAGGGGGAAGAAAAATAAGTAAAACCCGATAAGAGAAAAAAAAAAAAGAGGAGAAAAAAAAATGGCTACGCGAGTCTAAGGTAACCCGGATAATATTATCCATCGGCCTGTTTATCAGACGTAAGTCCATCTGAGCGTCTTTATCTGATCCCATTGCACCGGATGCTTCAAACGCATGTGATTCCTCACGCTGTTGGGATGAGAGAACGTTTTCGCGCACGAGGCAACGGGACAGGTTGGCGAGTCGCGCGGATAATGATGCTCCAAGTGAGCCCTCATCGTGCTGATGTCCTGCAACGTCCTACAACAAAGGGGACACCTGTAACCGTGCTGTTGATGATGATCGCGTATCATCTTCTGTTGCCTGTAGTCAGCCGGGCTCCGTTGATACTTGGTCGTGGTGGTGTTGGTGGTCGACGCGGTGGTCGTCGACTGGTCTTGCTGTTGCTGTTGCTGCTGCTGGTCGTCTTCCTGTAGCGCCTGATGATGATGATGGTGAGGAGGAGGAACGGATAGTGGATGATGATGACGATGCCGATGATGTTGCTGGTGATGGCTGTGGTGGTGGTGGTAAGCCGCGCCCTCTGCCTCATCGAGCCCGTGATCTGCAACCACCACCACACCAACGTTACCACCAGCCACCACCACCAT